GCTTTATAACAACACCAATTTCATCTTGGCAGTGTCTATACGTCCGGCGCGCCTGATGTATATCTCATGCACTTTTTGTCCGGCGACCAAGTCACATGACCGCCGTAAAAAAGTGGCGAGAGATATTTTGTCCATCAGTCTTGTCACGTGACCCCCAATGATTCAAAACTATTGTTAATTTTAAAATCTATTTCTCTACCAAGTAATGTACATCTTGCATGCAAATGATAGAAAAAAACTGAAGTGAAAGTGGCTTGTAAACATTTTTGTTTAGTTTGTTATTTGAGTCAGCAACCCATAATATAATTAGGGGCCAGTATTCAGTATGGAGTAGGCAACCTATAAAAGTAAAAGATTTTAAATTAAGTAAACATTTTAAATTGTTTAAATTGCTAAAAATATTTTAAATAGGGGTGTGCCGGAATCCGGTTCCACCGGATTTACATGTATCCGGAACATCCGGAGTATACCGGATTTCAGAATTTGCCAGATTTTGTGACTCACCGGATCATAATCTGAAATAAAAGTAATTCTCTTTCCCGAAGTCCACACGATCACGATACATTAATCGATTGTTTCGAGCGTTGAGCTTGTTTAATGTTTAATATTCCGAACATACCAGAGGCTAGAGTCAGCACCGCTAATAGTGGCCAATAGTGTAGGTACTTTGATAAGAAAATTTAAACTTTTTGTAAAAATAAACCAATGGCATAGTTAAAAAGAGGTAATTTTTTAAAGAATTATAACACCAAAATCATATTTTTAGCTGTTGTAGTTTTAAAGTTATTAATTTTTAAAGTACGACTTGGTTTGTCATTTTTTAACATGGACTGCATCTCCACATTCTGTGATCTCATTCCGCCAATCCCGCCATGCGCAATGACTATATAGTTTATATAAGGCAACGCATTCCCTGCCTTATTACTAAAATACTGTTTAGACTTAGTTTAAACTTTCAACTTTGGCACATGAATAATTAATTAAAGCTTTCCCTGACCAATGGTTTAATAGTTTTTGCACACGGCAAACTCTTATGAATGAAACTCTGAGGTAGTACTACGATACAGTTATGCAAGTGGCTGTGAATGGTTGCCAATGACAACGTGTTGCACATGGTAAATTCTGATCATTTATAATATGGATTCTACCGGGTTGTTAAAGCTCAAATTAAAACATTCCAGTTTAAATGTCTTTAAATGCATTCTGAAACACAAGTTATCAATTATTTTGATGTAAATAGTGATAAAACATTCCAGTTTAAATGTCTTTAAATGCATTCTGAAACACAAGTTATCAATTATTTTGATGTAAATAGTGATAATAAATTAATATTTCCTAAGTATCGTCAACTTCCGCCATTAAAAAGGGGGCGTGGCCAACCCCATGGCGAAATTAGGTTGAGCGAGCTGCATAACCTGCTGCGAACGCGTAGAAACATGGCGTCTCTCGTAAGACACTTATCCAAATGGAACGGAACTCAAATATATATCGAAAGTACTAATTTAATAATAAATAGACACACACATCGGAAAATTAAAAACTCTGATTTTTTGGCGCCGATTGCGAATTCCCATACACAAAAAGTAGTAGTCTACCTTGACTTACCGAAGTATCTACCAATAGTACCAAAATCCGGAATCCGGGAGGAACCGGAATCCGGATTATTCCGGCGGATTTCGCATAAGAAAATCCGGATCCGGTTGGAAAAAACGGATCCGGCACACCCCTAATTTTAAAACTTCTCATAAAACTACTGTTGCTGATGAACATAATAATATAAATATAATATAAAATATTTTAAATTAAAATTGGGTAAAAAAGGGTTCCCATGCGGGGGATCGATCCAAAAATAAAATATTGTCCAACGGCCACATGACCACACAAGATCTTCTTAATAAATATTTCCTTCAGAATAATAACGCCTACTAGTCGTCCGGCGGTCAAGTGGCATGCTCGCCGGACGTATATCTCCCACACTATTTTTCCGGCGCGCCGGACGTGTAGACACTTCGTTTCATCTTTCTATCTTTTGTGGAGTTATGATTTTTTTAGTCAAATTTTTTATGCCCCTTATATAATCTTTATATTTTACCCCCAAAACGTGTGACCCAAATTTCACATTTCCCTTATTTTGCCAACATTTTTATTTTTAAAGATAATTGCACCAAATTTTCAGGAGACATTCCTGATCTAATAACCAACACAAAGAACAATATAAATTTTACATTACATCAAGACTTTTTATTTTGGATAATTTTCTTTGCTGGTATGTTGAATAAAATCATGTCCTAAAAAATTGGAAAAATTATTATTTGTAAAGGCAAAAACAAACAAATAACATGTTTATTGTAGTTAAATTAAGTGTATGATTCAGTTATATTGCAAATAAATTATCTTTATAAAAGCAAGGAGAAGTCTTTTTTTTAATACAAAATTAAATGCATGAAATTATAAAAGCTATTCAAATCACCCATCACGAGACTAACAAATGAACATACAGGTATGTGATTTAAATTTTAAAAGGGAATGCGGATGTTCTGCCTATCATCTTCTATGTAGACTCCTTTCCAGACATCTTAATCTTGGTCTTGTTGATGAATCACAAAATTTCTCCTTCATAAACTTTGTCTTTGCCATCCTCGTCCATATATGCCTTACTGTTGATGGAAGTGGAATAAATTCCACAAAGATCTTCTCTTCAATAGAAAATTAAAATTTTCCCTTGTACGTCAAAGAAGGCTAGAAATAACATCTAATCATAATCCTGAATCTTCACAATTTATTTCTTTTTAATAATATTCATTTCATTATTTTCATGTGGTGATCAAAAATCATTTCTTTTTTAAAAATGTTTAATTTAGTTTTATTTGATATATTAAATAATTGTTTATGTAAACTGCTTTTCTATGTCCTAATAAAAAATTTTTTTTTTTACTTTGATGATGTAGTATTAGAATGTTATATTAACTAACATTTATAATTAAATGCTTTATTAAATAAAAAAAAAATTACTAACTTTTATTAGGCCTGCAACTACAAGTGTGTTGTAAAAATTAGCCTTAATACTAATACTAGGCTTAGGCCTAAATAGACTTAATAGGATTACCGGTAAAATAACTGTTATTGTAAAAAAAAATTGTATGCCTAATTTTTGCAATATTCATCCATATGAGTAGTAATTTTTAAGGGAATAAAAATTATTATTATTGCTATACTATTATTAAACAATTAATTATTGATGCAATAATGAAGAATGTTAAACTTGAACGGATAAATTTGGTACCCGGTGAACAAAACTATTTAACGTCATAAACTAAAAATCAACCCCATAGACTCTACCCAAAACTTTTAGTTTTTTAAAATTTATTCATTTGAAACGTATTAGAATTATTCATATGATTAGAGATTAAACAAAAAAAGGTTCATTTCATAATTGACAGAAATAATAATAGTCATTTCCGGCAACTCGATCGAGTATAATGAACTTTCGATTCAGCGACATTTTCATACCCCCCACCTACACTTTAGTGGAAGGCATTACTTTTTCATTGAGTTGGTCGATTTTAATAATTTAAATATGTTAATACACACGAATGAATGTAGTTTCTAAAGAGCTAAACCGTTTTCTTATGGAATAAATAAAAAAAAAAGTATTATGTGATAAAATTACCGAACGGTTACGAATTTCTTGTCGTGACACACAAAAAAACCTCGTAGCATAAATTTAATAGAATCACCTGAACACAAAAACTGATACGTCACTGATGAGGAAAGCAATTATTTAATAAATAAAGGGGATGTAGTAAGCAATTTTCCAAAGATACCGTTTAGCTGTACGACATATTGTATAACAAGTTTTTTTTGGGACGTTTTTGGAAATTCACAGATCAGTGCATCGAGTAGTTTTAAAGTACCTAATGATGGATCTAAATTTAAATTATCTTCACTATCAAAAGAAATAGTTGTATAAAACAATTCAAACGCTTTTTGAGCTGTTAATCGTCTAGGAAACTTACTCACCTACTAGGGCCTAGGGTAGCCATAGCAACCGTAGAAAAAAAAAGTGAGAAAATCATTAAAATAATGCTTCAAATAACAACAAATAAACCTTGGTTTCGCTTATAATTAATGAAGTGCCACTCTTTTATGTGTCTTATTTAAAAGCTCTTTAACTGAGAAATAGCAAAGAAACAAACATGATATTGAAACAACACAGAGCGCATTCATCCACGTTTTTTAGAATGGCGGATGAATGCACTGTGCGTTGCGCTGCAGCTAAAGAGTTAAAGGTAGGCTTGACCAGAGACACCATTAGGCCTAATTATGAACACCCACTTTTTTCTACTGTAGGCTAGAGTAAGTGACCTTACGCAGACAAGATATGCTAGTAGGTTTCAAATTACAATTACAGTTACAATGTATATTTTTTGCATTGCCTGAGAATCCATGTTAAAGATAAAACAGAATAAAAATGGGTTGTGGTGTTGTGAATGTAATTAAGCTATTGTGGAGCGGGAGCTGGAGCTTCATACTTTATTTGATGACCCAAGTTATTTACAAAGTTGTACGGTATTTGACTGTCATGTTGTTTTGATGATCTGCAAAAAGGCTTTAAGTTACAAATGTATTTGGCTAGGACAAATTATATTTGTGTCATGAAGATGCAATTTAAAATTAAGTTTTATTAAGCCATTAGGCGTTATTAATATTTGTAGCAAAGTACAGGCATTACAAATATTTATTATTACTATTACGGAACAACTAAAAATAATGCCCTTCCCTAAACTTGAAGCAAATGGAAGGATCCTGGGCCTAAACTAAACTGGGAAAATATTATTACATAGGGTAATTATGCTGATTTACACAAATGAAATTTCTTTTGTGAATGGTCAGTTTATTTAACTCATATTAAAAACTTTGGTATAGCTGTCAGAAACAAGTATTCATTATTAAAATTATCAAGTCTTTTAATAGGGATGAAAAAAAAGAATTATTTTGTAGGCCTATTTATTCAAGTTTTAACAAGTGGTAGACCTAATAGTTTAGTCAAAGAACAACAAATAAATATTCCTTAATTTAAAAAAGGCCAGCTCCTGACCTTCCGTGAATATAGGCCATAAATTCACTTTTTCATATTTTGATGCATCAGTATGATACTAATAGGCCTAATTTCTACTTGCTTTTAACAATCGTGTTATCTCCAATTTTTTTTTGCTCTTTAAAGAATGGGTGTTCGTTACAAGCTTGCAGTTGGTCTTGATAAAGGCCACAAGGTCACCAAAATTGAAGGTGGTAGGAAGACCAGACCTACTCGTAGAAAGGGGGTAAGTATCTTGTCATTTGAAGTTCGTTGTCTATTTCAGTTTAGGCCAGGTTATTTAGGTTTACAATTTAAATTTAGATGAATTTGAGGGTTAACTTTGCATCTCTTCTTAGCTTGCTTTTTTAAAATAAATTAATTAGAGCTAGTTGTAAAGTTCATTTGTCATTCTAATAACAGTAGCTGTGAGTGTGAGATATCAACCTGAGGCAGTGGCGTAGCGAGGGTGTTTGGCGCCCGGGGACAAGATCCATTTTTAGCGCCCCTTTTTCTTTTTTTCAACTCTCAAACCCATTATTTTCATCAATAAAATAATATCAAAGCACATTTTGGCGCCCTTAAACTAGCTGGCGCCCGGGGACATCTGTCCCCCCTGCCCCCACCACGCTACGCCTCTGACCTGAGGGGTCAAATTTATTTGTATAGGACTAGTATGCAAACACATTGTTATTCAACTTATATTAGCCATGAGACCTAAATATACTATTCTAAACCTCTGCTGTGCTGTTGTGCATTTTTAGCCTGATTGTTCATTATTGACCTGAAAGAAAAAATAGTTCCATTTAAGGATTTTTAAAAGTTTGTCTGTACACTTAAGATTCAATATTCTTTGTTTTTTCCCCCCAATTTGCTTTATTTAATGATAGCTAATGTCTACCAGGAGAGGACATATTCCTTTATTTTGCTTCTGTGGTAGCTAAGAAAACTTTTGCTGGTGGCTTTACCTTTTCTTCACTTCTGGGTTGTTCTGGAGGCTTTTATCCCGGTTGAGTTTATAGTTAAGTCTGTTTTCTTTCACTTCTCAGTGAAGTTGCCTTTAGAACAAGGTATTATAAATAATTTTATAATTGATGAAGCATAATCATTTAAATATATACCACTGGTTCCTCCAAAGTTCCTTTGCGGTTGTAATACTTCTTTTAAGCAGTGGTCAACTTCAAAGTTGTTCTGTCGTTCCAGAGTTTCTGTGGACACATTAGATCCTTATGTGCCAAATCCTCCAAAAACAGGCTCGATAAAGTTAATGGTGCTTCACGAAGGCGAATATTGCGTTTTTAGCTATTAGAATCTATCTTATACTTGCACCATGAGTTGTTCGACATAAATTATGATTTGGTGTGGTCTCATTTGGCAGGTTTTAAAATTTCACTAATTGTTCTTTTTTTCACAATGGCGAAAGGCTATAATAGTTCTTATATTTCAGGATTCACATATTCAGGGCAGGGTATAGAAATAAAATGATGTAGCTTGTGGTCTGGAAAATGTTTGGGGGCCTTTGATATAAAACCTGACTGTGCAATAATTTTTGTCATTGATGAATTAAAACACCTTTTAACTTTACATTTGTTTCTATTTAGACTGCCACAAAACACGCAAAATTTGTTCGTGATCTTGTAAGAGAGATTGCTGGATTTTCACCTTATGAAAGAAGATGCCAGGAGTTGTTAAAAATCTCTAAAGATAAGCGTGCACTTAAGTTCTGCAAAAAGAGGGTGAGTTTTGGAATATTAACTTTTAATAGTGCACCCACCTAATTTTTTTTTCTTTAATCCTATTAAATGTGCTACCATTACTCAAAAAGTTAATCACAAGAAAATATTTTAATCATCTGTATTTTATCAACACATTTTGATCTTAATTTTGTATAATTTCCATTACTGTATATATCATAGAAAAAAATACACCTGTAGTCGCATCTTGGAGTTACCCGCATTTTTTAAGATGGGATTTACCAATATACACACTTTGACTAAGCAGTTCCAAACATACCAATAATGGTATAGCAGACCTGTTTAACTCTTACGATTTTGTTGTACAATGTGTGATTTTACATATGTATAAGGTGTATACATTATACATAATGTATGTTAATTTTTTTACTATTAAGATAGTGTATTGAAAGATTTTGTAAAGATATTGTACAATTTTAAGAGTTTGAGGGTAAACAGGCCTGGTATAGCAAAGTCCATGAATAATTTATGGTTTTATATTTTTCAGTTGGGTACACATGTTAGAGGAAAGAAGAAGAGAGAAGAGATGCAAGTTTTACTTCAGAAGATGAGGAAGGCACAACAACATGCTGCAAAATAATTTCCTTTTCAATAAATGTTAAAAAATTATGTTGTCTTCTCTTTTTTAATAACCATGGAATATTTTTTGTTATTAGAAAAACATTTACAAGGGAAAACAAATATAGGAAGTCAGATTTTTTTCCATTAAGGAGTAACCAGCATTTGTTTTTATTTTTAAATCAGGATGGTGATATAATTGTTATAACGCAAAGGTCAAAATTATTTATAGGATCATAAAAACAGATTCATTCAAATGTGTCAGGATAATTTCATTCTTATTAATGAAATTAATGCAAAGAACTTAAGTTTTCTGATGGAATAATGTTTTTCCCGTGTTAGCTTATTAGAAAAACATTCTTCCAGACCCAATACAAAATTAATGCTAGTAAAAACAGTGCATATTAAACTTATGTAATTTTTTAAAACTTTGATAGTCCAAGATGAACTATTCTGAGAATGCTAATGACTTTCTTAGAAGTTAAGTTTATAAGATCATCGAAACTGTATGACACTACACATGTCAGTGTCAGAAAGTGAGTTTAGTGTATAGCAATTACATCCAAACTTTCCCAGGTAATGCCTGCATCACCAGCTTGATTTGTCTGTGGCGAAATTAAAATCAGACAAAATAAAGCATAAGATGTGACATAATGCTATAGGATTGTTACAGTACAATGTTTGTGCTTAGGCATAACTTGTTTTATGATCCTTCAGTGCAATGCTTTCGAAAGGACAAATTATCAGCACAGTATCTTCAACTGCCAAATATACATATGAATACATTTTTATGATTAGTCTATATTTTACAACCTGGAGGCTTCATTTATTTTTGGTACTGTGTAGCATTCTATTAGTGTTGAATTATTATTATGATGATCCTATGGTACAATTTTAAAGCAAGAGGAAAAAAACCTACAAAACTTGAAATTTCCTGTTTGTTTTTTAGATTTTTAAATAATATAATTTATATTTAGGGACGTCTTATAAGTAATATTAGGTCAAATTTTTACTAGATCTCTTGGGTCAGTAAATTTAAGGATGGTTTGCAACCCTGCAGCACTGGTGGTATATGCTTTGTGATACAACTAAAAATTAAAAGTATTGCCATTGTATGGCACCAAAGGTACTAAGTACCGGTACCATATCTAATTTTTCCCTGAACGAAAATATAAATTAGTCCTGGTATCTGCCTCTTCAAAACCATACTTTATCCTGCTAAGTTATATTTACTTTAAATTAATTAAATAAAGTTCTAAGGCTGTGCCTATATTGAAAAATAAAAATTTGACAATCTCGCAGTATGGCAAAGGTGGATTAGTAAACTCTATAACTGTTATATAACTAACAGTAGATTAAGTGAGCCTAAAGTACAACAAGCTCAAACATTTTATTTGGGCTTTAGTTGTTTCAGCCCATTGTAAAAGATAAGTACCAGTATCACTGAACACAACCTTCTCCTGCATTTCACTTAGCTGAGTTTGCTTTGCATAATGCAGTTTAAATACTTGTTTGATGGCAAGTATATTTAAATTATTAATATAACTGACTTGTATTATTTTAAGTTTTGTTTTCAAGGATAAAATAAAAACTGCCTTCAACTTCAATGTGGAAACATCATTCTAAAATTTGACAATCTGCCCAAATGCAATTAAAAATGCTGATATTTGTCTCAAGTGCATTTTATAGTATAGTCCTCACCTTTTAACAAATCGCAACTTTACTAATGAATTTTATCACGTAAGTAAACAATGGGGTCCTAAGGGAATGTATGTATCAGTCAAATCAGTTTATTTTTTAAAACTTTCACGCTTTTGGCCTTTTTGCATAACAGACCCATAAATTAAATTGTCAAAAAGTTCAACAGAACTGTATTTACATAATAAACAAAGGTGACCTATTATTATTATTAATGAAATAAAATTTCAAAACATGATTCGAATGTAAAATATGACAGAATTGAAAAAGGCACAATGGATGGGAGTGATCAATTTCAGTTCATGCTAGGAACGCTTTTTCTTTGTTGACATAGTATTGGCTGGGATCTCAGCTTTGAACTCTCTGAACTGGACCTGAAATGAGCATTCAGTGTTAATTTCGATCGTGGTCCGGTAGTGAGGATAGTGTATGAGAAATTATAAGTTTAGATAATGCAAGAAAAGGAAGCAAGAATTAACATAGCACTTGAACTTTAAAAGACTCAAAAAGTCTTTGTTAATACCCGTACCGTACTACCGGTAACTAAAAATGTGAAATAGCTGCAAATTTCTTAAAGTTAGCAATTACTTACCAATTCTTTATCTGAAGGTACTCTGGATAAGAAATCTAACAACTCATTGTTAGATATTGCATTTGGTTTACGCAACTTTTTTGTAAATTTGTTGATGCCTGCGAACAAAAAAAAAATGTACCGGGTAGTTATAAAGTTAAAATGAAAATGAAGGTTAAATCTTTCTGTTACAATTGTTAAAAAACTGAGACATCCAGAATAAATTTAAACAAATAAATGTTATATTACTCTATACTTATACAGAATAGCAAAATGTGTCTTAAAAACCTCTCCTTACCCCAAGCCAGTAGCAGATATCGTAGTGGAATGAAATAGAGGACAATAATGCCAGCAGATAGAGCTATAACTGCAAGGGTAGACAACCATGGAACACTCCAGTTGAATGTGCTAGCAAGAATAACATAAATGATTTTGAAATTGAAATGATAAAATTAGTTTATCAAAGAGGTATGCTAAAATTTAAAGGACTCCAAAATTTGTGATTTTGCAAAAAATGCGAAATATGGTAGAAAAAAATTGATATGGGAATAATAGGATAACAAGATCAATACCGGTTGTAAAAAATTGCAAAGGACTACAAAAACTTTACAAAACTAACAGATGTATTTTTGAAATATAATATTGCCCAAGTAAGAAAATAACACAACCTTTTTTGTTAAATTAGATTTTATTCCTCTAATTCTAATGTTCTGTTTACATTTCAATATAAATTTAATTTATGTTCAAATCTTGACTTTCTAATTCAACTCAAGAACCCAAATGTGAAAAAAAAACAACAGAGCCCTTTTTTTATACTATAGGCCTACTATTGCTGTTTTTTCATATCAAATAAGTACTCTGAAAAACTTGTGGACCCAAGGGCTGTGCAGCTGGTACAAAAAAGGAACAGAAATCAAATTACAAGGAAGAAGAAGAGAAGGTTGTAAGGGATTGAAGCTGATACCCCCACACCCTCCTTTTTTTTCTTTTCTTTCTTCTTCATCCTTTCTTTCTCTTACCTTGTCAATTAAAAAAAATTAAAAAATATTTGATTGAAAAATAATTTAGTAGCCTACAGTGTAGCTAAAAATAACGTTTTTTTTTTTTTTTTTTTTTAGAATGATGTGACGCATTACAGCTCCACTTTTCAAAAAACAGCAGCTGCCTTTGTTATGTTCCTTTCAGAAGTCTAAAGAGGACCCCCACACTAGAATGATTTAAAAAAAAAAAGTTCCTACAGTTAACAATTTGAAATTAAAAAATGTGATAAAAATATCACAAATAAATAATAAGTATCATTCATTACAGGGTAGAGAAATTTATAATGTTTTGATTTACCGGTATATTACACACAAAATTTAGAAACATTTGATTTACCGGTATATTACACACAAATTTTAGGGCCATGTGAGTGTGAGGCTTGGCACAAAAAGCTCAGCCGATCCCCTGTTTGATAAGGTCTGTCTCTCATAAGCTATTAATTTTACATTTAATACAATACCAGTAACCGGTATTAAACTCTCCCTGAAATAAGAATTCCTTCCTCTTTTTAAAATAACAATAACAGTAACATCCACTGCTTTATCATCCACAAACGCAACTCTTCTCATCATGTCTCTAGAACTTACTTTTTTATTCTCTCACCAAGACAAGCTACACTGTCGAGGCCTTGCTGCACTTGGAGACAAACTTCTTGTATTGCATGATATCGATCCACTATACTTTTCTTTTCTTCTTGCTATTAGCATAGAAAAAAAAGGCTTCGTAAAAAGTTTTGAGAAATGTATGACAAAAGGTCACATTGTACAATTAAAAATTTCAAAGGAAATTATATCTTTAAATCTCAATATCATGGATATTGATCAGTGTGTCGATGAGTAATTTTGATTATTTATAATTTATATACATAAATACAATATATAAAATCAGGACAGGACTTAATACTCTTTAAATAACAGGGTCATTCATGCATCAAGTTGCAGAATTACTGTTGAACTTGTTCACATTTCTTCCATTTTAAACTCAAAATAAAAAATAAATAAAAATAAAACAAATTAAAAGCATAAACATTTCTCTCAAAACGCCACTCTCCTGTAAATAAAAAGGACAATGAACGGAAGCTGGTGGTAAAACGGAAATTTTTTCCTAGTCCAGCCTCTGAGGGTATATTTTTGGAATGTGAAAGTGAAATAAACGTTTCCTTGTTCATAGCAATTTAAATTTAATGAAAATGGGCTTTAAAAAAAGGCGGAAAAATTAAACAATCAAACAGAGAAACTACAAATGCATGAAGATATTCAAAGGGTTAGTAAGGGCGGCAGTGAATTTAGTTATGAAGCTTCTTGAGTGAGTGGGAAGCAGTGATTAGTTTATATGAGCTTATGATTAATGGTAAAAGGGTGAAATTTAGAGAGGATATTTATTTAGGTACTTTAATGTGGGTTCATTGGTTTATAATTGGTGGCATTGAATAAAACTTCATGTCATTGAGTGCAATATATATAGGATTTTTAAAAATATATACTATATAGCATACATACTCTTTCTGCTAATTGTTGGTGTATATAATTTTGTCTTTATATTGTTAAAATTTTAAGCGCTACTGACTGGTAAAGTGATCAATAATATATATTAAAGTATTGGTAGTTTTTAAGATTGATGAATAGACTACTTGTCTTGTAAAACATTTTTCATAATTATTTGAGTAGATGACAGTAAAATAAATCTGAGATGAGATATGTTCTCAAAGTATCTAATGGAGAAAACATCAGATCAGTCTTTACAATTAAAAAGAATAGAAATATTAAAATATTCATACAGCTGACATCTTTGATAAAAAAATATTATTAATAAACAAATTTAGATTTTTTTTTCATGTTTGGATAATAAATATGACATCACCATTTATGACAACTCCGTCATGGACAGTCCCAAGCCCGGGTGCTAAACGAGGGGGTTGGCGTGATGCCAGTTACATCCCATGTAAAAAAACAAAAATAACTGCTACTGAACCTTAAACAAGATGAAGAAAAAGACAATTCCAGTCCTGATAAGCGAGGTCTCTGCTTCCCCAAGAAGAGTTATGAAGCTTTGCTGCCAAACCAAGGTTATACTGGAAGCCTCAAAGCCGAGGACCCTCCTTTCAAAGGTAATAAACATAGGCTCGTGGAATGTTAAAACCATGTATGAAACAGGGAAATCAGCCCAAGTGGTGGCAGAAACGAGAACATTCAAACTCACACTGCTCGGCATCTGTGAAACAAGATGAACACAAGTATGGCAGTCAACATTGTCCTCGGGAGAAACAATAATATACTCAGAGCATGAGTCGATTTTATGATGCCACGAATGGCACAAGGGGCATTAATAGGGTGGGAAGCCCTTGGTTCAAGAATTATTACAGAAACATTCCTTCCGAAAAAAGAAGAAGAAAATAAATATGAATGTAATACAGTGCTATACACCCACCAACGGTAATAAGGAGGATGAAAAAGAAACTTTCTAAAATAGACTACAAGGCATACTGGAAAAATTTACTGGAAAATTTTCCAGGTAGAGATCTAAATATCATAATGGGATATCTCAATGCTAAGAAAACAGAGGATACGAAGAAATTATGGGTCGCCATATTTAGGAGAGGGAAATTAAAACGACGAAAGACTGGCAGACTTTTGCTCAGCAAATGATCTCGTTATTGGGGGCAGCGAATATCAGCATACGTGTATTATACACACGCTAACTTGGGTGTCCCCTGATAACAGAAAACAAAACCACACTGATCATATAAGTATTAGCAACAAAATTCAGAAGGTGGTCTGTACAAGAAGTACGAGCTATCAGAGGAGCTGGTGTTGCATCTGATCACCATCTAGTTTTGGCAAGAGTTCAGCTAAAGCTGAAGAAAAACTGGGAAGAGCCAGCTGCAAGACAACTAAAATATACAACATAGAACGTCTTGAAAACGAGCAAAAACGACAGAAATTCAGTGTTTTCTACATAAATAAGTTCCAGGTGCTGCTAGACCAAACAGATGATGACAAGAAAGAACATCAATGGCAAATTATAAAGATAACTGCAACATCCATGGGCAACGACACTTTAGGACCGGTCTAGCACAAACACAAAGATTGGCTCAAACTCAACACAAAAATTGTCTCTCACTCAACACAAAGATTGGCTCTCACTCAACACAAAGATTGGCTCTCACTCAACACAAAGATTGGCTCTCACTCGACACGTTGCAAAAAATAAACGAGATGAAAGAAATGAAGTCTGCAGTAAACAACAGCCACACCAGGGCAGAGAAAACAAAACCACAAGAGAAATATAAAGAAGCCAATGGAAGTGTAAAGAATAGTATTAAGAATAATATAAGAGCTTACATAGATAGCCTTGTGTCAACAGTAGAATAAAAGGCGAACGTGACAGAGCGATATGATATAATTAGAAAGCTCTCAGGAAGATATAAGAAGCCAGAGAGACTGGCGCTACACCCTCTATTTGACAAGATATGGGAAGAAGAGAGAGTTCCAAAAAAGATTGTAAAGAAAGATACCTCATCAAGATACCAAATAATTCAGCAACTGTGCAAACTACAGAGGAATGACACTTCTGTCAGTACCAGGATGGTCTTTAAAAGAAATATTCTGAATAGAATGAGGGACCAGGTCAACAGGCTTGTTTCCGCTGAAACAGATCATGCACAGATCAAATTGCAACACTAAGAATCATTGTAGAACAGTCCAATGAATGGAGCTTCCCCGCTGTACCTAAATTTCATCGAAAAAGAAAATGCCTTTGATAGCCTGGACCAACAGACATAGTGGAAACTTCTCCAGCTTTATGGGGGTACCAAGAAAACTAGTCAGGATCAGTAAGAGTTTTTGAAGAAATGATATGTAGGGTGGTACAAGAAGGTAGACTCACGGATGCCTTTCAAATGGAACAGGAGTCACACAAGGATGTCTCTTAACTCCCTTCCTATTCAGCCCTGCCATTGACAGGATAATGAAAGAATTCACAGACAAAAAGAGGAACGGGATACCGTGGACACCCAGGGAACAACTGAATGAACTAGAAATTTCAGATGACAGTGAACTTCTGTCCCACAACTAGCAACAAATGCATTTCAGCACAGCTCGGACTCTATAAATAAAAGCAAGACAACAATCATGAAGATAAACTCAGCTAACAAAGAGCATATCTCTTTGGTAGGAAATGCACTGGAAGAAGTGGAGGCCTTCTCATACTTAGGCAGCATCATTGACATAAATGGTGGATACGAAGCTGATGTCAGGGCTGGAATTGGAAAGGCTCGGTCAGCCTTTGTGTTACTAAAGAAAATATGGGAGTCAAAGGAGCTTACTCTGCAAACAAATTATGTCAAAACAGTCCTACTCTATGGAGCCGCAACTTGGAGAAAAACAGCGAGGGTCACTGATAAAGTAAATACCTCAATAAACACTTGCCTTTGAAAGATTCTGAACATCACATGGTCAAACACCATAACCAACAAAGACTTACTGGAAAGGTCACACCAGGAGCCTATTGCTGAAGACATCAAAAGGGAAATATGGATTTAATAGGGCGCACTCTTCTTTAACCCCCAGATAACATCACCAGACAATCCCTAACATGGAATTCACGGGAAAAAGGAAGAGAGGAGGGCCAAAGAATGCATGGAGCTAGAGGCAGACACAAAGTATGGGATACACCTAGAAAGGAAAGCACAGGACCGAGATAAATGGAAAATTATTGTACACAATCTATGCCCTAGACGTGCTAAAGGGCTTCAGTAAGTAAGTTTTTTGATACCGTCAAAATAATGCTATTTCTTTTTTTATTATAATTATATACAAAAAGCTAACAGAAGCAGTTACATACTCTGGCTAGAAAAAAGCACAATTTAAAATGTTAGTTCAAAAATTAATTTATCTGTACTTCAATTTTACAAATATATAAAGATAGGATGGGTTTTATTGAGCTTTAAATATATTTTTGTTCCTGAATTTGTAGCCCTTTGATGGAAGGAAAACATAAAAATTGGTATGAATATTCAATTTTTGAAATTTTAAATTAAAAAAAAGACAAAATTAAATTTAAAAAAAAAAAATCTATATATGATACAAATATACTATAAAAACAAAACCAACATTGCCTCAACAAGGTAAACGGCTACTGAAAATTCTCTACAAAAAAAAAAAAAAATTTCAATGTACCCGTAGGTCTATAGCAAAAAAATAAAAATTGGTATAAAAATTCAATTTTTAAAATTTTAAAATAAAAAAAAAAAAAAATTAAATTTAAAAAAAAAAAATCTATATATGATACAAATATACTATAAAAACAAAACCAACATTGCCTCAACAAGGTAAACGGCTACTGAAAATTCTCTACAAAAAAAAAAAAAAAATTTCAATGTACCCGTAGGTCTATAGCAGTGTAGCAGAGTTTTGAATTTTAAAAAATTGGATATCAGAATGGGATATTAAGTTATGAAGTTACACTTATCAAAATTAAAATTTACCTTCTTTGGCTAGAAGAAGTAAAAATGGATAATATGTTAGACTCAAAGTAACAATGTTTAGTGAGTATTTGGATATATTTAAAAAGTTCATTTAGTGAAGTTCATTTAAAATACCAGGTAGTATCCAAATCATGGGAGATAAGATTAAAAGATTTTTTTGTATAAATAACTGGAAGGTAAATCATTACTTAATACTGTACTAAATACTTTAGTTTTAGGAATAAAAAAAAGACCATGCAAAACTTAAAATATTCTAAACATTAAACATCAATGTACTAACTCTGTGGTGCATGATAGAATCGGGCAGAGGCTTGAAAATTAGCTATGGTATATTTATTATAGAAGCATCTTTTGAAATTGATTATTTCATCTGCTATTGACACATGAGCCAAATATTTATTTTTAAAACAGAATATTTTTAGCTACTCAACACAGGTGAGTAAAAAAAATGAAACATTACCACTCTAATTTTTCCAAATTAATTTAAATAAAACCCTCTTATTTGTAAAGAGATTAAAAATTGGGATTCAAATAACTTTGTAAAAGTGCTTTAATTAAAGCATCTTATAATTTTAACTATGAGATGCATCAGCTAAGTTATGAAATATTGTTGATCTTTCAAAGTGATATCAAAATATGATTTGTGGCAAGATGAAGAAACTCAGATCTGTTGTTTAAAATTTTATTACAAACCTAATACTTTAACTGGCATTGCATATTAAAAAAAAACAACAAAAAAAACCACAAAAAAACGAAAGAACAGACAGAGATGCTAAAAATTAATTCTGGAATTATTGGTAATTATCTCCTAGATGTATATTGGCCTGCGTTGTTTTTGTTTGTAAGAGATGAAAGAATTAGAATGAGTATTCTCGTATTTAGTTTTTGTAATGTTGCGTTTTGTATTTCAATGTGATATAATATAGAATTTTTCATTTCTCTTTTAATATGGTTGATTTTGTAACGCGATTCAAGCCTTTGGGGATGAAGCATGATTTTCAAATAAACTTTCCCTAAACGTATACATAATCAAAAACCATAATACAAGATGAATGTAGCCTCTAGTTTTGCCTCTTCCCCAATTTCCAAATCCCTCCCATTTATCAGGGTTATTACTGAAATGCACATTATGTTGCAACACAAAATTTAGTCCTATCACGTGAGCTTCATTTTTTTGGTCTTTTGTCTGTTAAATGAAAAACTTCTTGAGTTTTACTAATTAGATTATAAATTCTAATTTACTTAATTATTCAAAAGATTATTGTTGTCTTCAAATATTATCAGAGATATTCCTTGCTCGAACAAGAATTGGATATTGCCAAACATGAAGACGTGATAAAGCAATAAAAACATCACAAGGGAAAGACTAGCGCAAAATCCACATTTCTTTAATCTGTCCGTGTAATGGTAGCGTGATTTAAATGTTACCTTATCTTTTTCTTCTTCATCGTCATCTTCATCTTCTCCTTCATACTCCTGTAGAGTAAGTATAGATGTTTAGAGTCATGAAGAAAATTTTATAAAAAGTGTAAAACAAATGATTCAATTCTTAAGTTTCCAGTTTTTACCCTTGATTTCAATTCGTACCTTACAATCTTATCTTACACTTTATGGCAAATTACAAATAACTCTTTCAGGGTACATGAAAAAATATTGAAAACAAAAAAAAATTTATGTTAACATTTAAAAAAAAATAAATAATATGATTATCTGAGTTAAGGCCAGTGATCACAAAATGAACATTTGTTGTAGATTTTGAAAGGTTCTTACATCTTCTACTGGCTCTTTCTTGAAGGTGCCAACAATGTTAGCTATCACATAATTTTTCAAAAATATTAGGAGCAAAGAAATTGGAAGCATGTAGAGCTCAAAATTCCACACAATAACCAAATACACCTGCAAGATTATGTGAAAAATAACAAAATTAATTAATATATAAAGAGAGAGAGAGCAATACATAGATCTTAAACAGGATAAATCAGTAATAAAAATATAAACCAATCTATTTAATTACCTTAATTTCATTAATATTTTTCTTTAATTTCTTGAAGAAAATATACTAGTAAGATGTTAATAAGTTGTAAAATATTTCTAATGAATACATTATAAGCACCAATTCAATTTAACTTCATGCATCTCAGTAGATATAAACTTAAAATCTGTATTAAGTATATACCATTTATTTATAATTCAAGTAGGCCTATAGGTTATTAATATCTAAGAGATTATCTAATAATTGTTCTTTTAAAGAGGCATTCTTATTCTTAAATGTTGTTTTTCTCCCTTGATTTATATGAGACAGTGGATAAAATGCTGCGACTCACAATGAAAGCTGTTATTGTACGAGGTGGAGACTGCCAATCAAAACAGCTTTGAATAAACCGCCCTGTGTCCATGAAGACACTAACCAATTGTGAAACTCTGTTGATGTTTTGTTTCATTGCCTGAAAGAAAATATTAAGTCTATTAGATAAGGATACCAAAACAAAAAAAAAGCTAGATAATTAATGTAAACAGGCTCTTAATACATACTAACTTATGCTTACTGTTGAAACGGGTTTAAAAAAAAGGCTTAGTAATAAAGTTACGAAAGATTAAATACATCATCTGTGTACTCACTGCTATTTTAAACTTTTGCTCTGGCAACAAGAGTTTCTCTTCTTTTGGATTCACAGTTCTTACTGCTGCCTTGATCTGTAGCAAGGATACAAAAAAAAAAATATATATGGTTAGACTTTGTCAAAGTTCATCGTGATTTTAAACCAACTTTCTATGTCTTTGCTCTCCTATAAGCCATGGCCTTTTTTCAAAGTGATTAAAAATACATTATTTTTCCACAAAATAAGTGGACATTTTTTAAAATTCAAAGCTTTATGAATGACGAAATGGTACGTAATCTAAAGTTTTACAGTCTAAGAGAATAAGGATATGAGAATCGCGTTTGTCTTTCAACAAATATCCATTGAACTCGATTCTTCGAAAAAATTGTTAATCATACTATGACACCCAATTGTTTCACAAGACATTTAACTATTTTTATGAACTCGCATTTATCTATTATTTTTATATTATACATTTTTTTCTTAGTTGAATAGGTATGTTTTGGAACTTGGAACACTCAATAACGTATCATTATTTGAGATTCAATGAGTGCTAGCCTCAATATGTAGAGCACAAATTTGTCAAACCAAAGGTTTCGTTGAAGCATTATAAACATAATTCATAATCATTGTTTTATGTAAATACTATTTTGCTGTGTTCTAATTAAACCACCATGTGAGTAATATTTGGTTAATCTTTAGTCACAGCTGTCAGTTGAATCAGTTCTCAGTATAAAACACAAATAGGCCTACATTGCTTCAGTGAATAAAAAAAAAAAAATTGGACTATTTAGCATCCCCCTCCGATATTTTTTGGAAGCAGACCTGTCAACCCTAATTAAATAACTTTATAGTTACAGGTCATGACAAAGATACTTAACTAACAATACAGATGCGCACTGATCATACAGTATACAGTACCTGCTACACGCATGACAATTGAAATTATTACTTTAATAATGTTTAATTATCAAAGTATTCATGCAAAAGGGTTTAACTCGTAGCACGTACACTGACTCACTGACTTACATTCAGAATCAGTGGGGGCTAACATGTAGGTCCAGCAATTAGGCTACTACTGCACTGTCGTTCATAACGTATGGTCTCAAATCAGGGCAGTTACTACAATGTTATTACAAACGTGAGTTTGATACTCGTATCAGTCCATCGGTGTCTTTTAAAGGCAAAAGCTTATTGCAGTAGCCTATGTGTAACGTGTGACCAGAACGACATAACGGCTAGTATCAGGCTCACGTACACGCTGGTATCTAATACAATGTAAGAATTTAGCGTATGTCAGCATGTTAAACAATATCAGGATTACGCGTAAAATTGACGGAGCTAACCAGTGATTAAAACACTGCCTAGCCTAATAGACGTGAAGAACATTCTACAAATATACAAATACAAAACTTTAAAGGCGTATTTGCTTCTACTTCAAAATTATTCAAATGGTGCAGGTGAACATTGGCGCATTTTATGGATACCATTCAAACTTTGAGCTTAAAAGCCATTTGTGCTCTCACTATAAATAAAGTCGTGCGGGCATATCAGAGAGCAACTACGTCGAACAGTTTTTTACAATCCTTGAATAACAGTGAAAATCCCGGACCAAAACCCAGAAGACTTATATTTGTCTGTTCACGTTTAGTCTCGGCTATCAAAGACTTATTAAGAGACACTATTCTATTTCTATTGATATGGGTTAAATGGTCTTTGATTATGTTAAATAGACAGGGGTTGTCATCAGTGTGTCTTTTACAAGCATCGAATATGCGTTTACACAAGCTATAAAGTTAAAACTCACATGATTGAATACTAAATCCATTTCAAGCTGAACGGAACCTTTTGTTTTGTGAACCATCTTCCTGTCTTTCAAGGCGTACCAGCGCCTGTCTCCATTTCTCACCTGAATCAAGAGGCAACATGATGATAATATTAGAAAACTTTGCTACCTTTGTATTAATCATTTGAAACAATAATTTTACACAAAAAAAAAAAACCCAACAAAACAACATGGAACACAACTTACCTTCAACAACGGTATTGCAAATTTCCCCAAGAATTCCACTTTTTTGTTACGATCCTCATCGTACACCGTCACTTCTAACACCGAATGGATGTCTTTAACCTGGCTGAAATAGTCCAAGAATTTTTGTTTTTAAACCTTTCGCAAATGAAAACTGGCAAACAAAAATAGTATATCATTTTCTGTCTCGGGTTGATCCTGTAGAATAGGCCAAAACGTGCCAAAGTGTACTCGTTTTTATAACCATTTTAATGTTTAAGCTACTGTTTCTATAGTCATTTTTCACATTGTAGTTACTATTCTAGTGTCTCTGGTTTTTCATTTTTATTTTACTTTAGCAGTTTAAATAGTTTACATATTTTTAATAATTGTAAAGCGCTTAGAGCTGTAAGGTAAACGCTATAAAAAGAATGCCTAAATAAATAATAAAAAAAAAAATTAGCTCTTAGATTCTTTTCTAAATCCTTCTTCTATAGACCAAAAGCATAACTGTGGCTACAAACTTGAATGTTGAAGCACTTTTGATTATTGTTCAAATAGTGTTTTTACCTGTTCTACACAGTTGTTCTGTATTTTAAAAATAGATAACACAGACAATGTTTTGTCGTAATAATGTTAAAATATATGTTCTACCATTGTATTGCTCTGCACATGTATCTAGGGTTAATATTTACTCTTAGGACAATGTAAACGGTGCATACAATGTAAAAACCTTGCCCCACTCAGGATTAAGTGTCTTGTATTCTGTTTGCGTTTGTACTCTGTTGTTAACAAGCTCCAGCACACAAAATGGGTCACTGAGACCCCCAAAGTCTGCTGACTGCAGGTTATGGGCTTTCCATACTGAAACGGGAAATGTTTGCCCACACATTGCAATCTCAAGATCAGCATTTATCAAAGAAGAGTGACAATATAATGGTACAAATAATATAAGGATGTGAATCAGCGCCATAACATTCACATGTCTCTCCATAACATTCACATGTCTCGCCATAACATTCACATGTCTCGCCATAACATTCACATGTCTCGCCATAACATTCACATGTCTCGCCATAACATTCACATGTCTTACCATAACATTCACATGTCTCGCCATAACATTCCCATGTCTCGCCATAACATTCACATGTCTCGATTAAGCTTACATCACAGAGGAAAGAAAACTATAATGAGGTTAAACTTCAGTGTTTTAATTCAAGAGTGAGGAACACCTTGTTTGACTTCGACACATAGCCATTGGCTGAGCTTACACAATTTTTAAAAAACGTTCGTGTGTGTTACCTTTGACCTCTAAGTGCCCAATGTCATCGAGATTCCTGAATGAGTTCAAGAGACCCTGCAACATAAATAGTGAGTGAGCCTAAGCTTAATGAATGTAAAAAAAAAATTAGTATTGTCTTTATTTTATTAATCATCAAGGTTTTGATAAAATAATAACAGACTACTTCAACACTTAATTAAAAGGATAAATAGAAGATGTGAGTTTTTTTTATAGAAGAGTCTGCTAATTCAAAGGCTTGTCTATTCATATTTTAACACGTCAACTTTTATTACAAGCTGTGTTTCAGTATGTAAATGAGTTCCCCATCAAAACTCTCAAAGACATTTAAAACATGAGTCAACGGGTCCCTGTCATCTATAGGTAGACTTGTCAATGTGACGGGTGGACAAAACATTGTGCTATGCTAAGCTGTGTGTTAAACAATAAAACAAAAATTTTATTGAAACACCAGGTCAGTCACCAGATAATGTGTAGTGTCTCATTTAATTGCATTTGATAAGATGAAAAGGCTTACATATTTATTGACAATTTTGTCCTTGTCAAGGGCATTTGGTGTGTAGTTGGCCAGGTTTGAAGCCATCTCACTGCCGAATGTGCCGCTGACTGTGAGCAGAAGTGTGATGGTGCCTGCACCATCTTCAAGTGGCTGTACAATGGTATGGGTCCTCTCCTTCTCTAGCTGGGATAACTCTATCACTGCCCTAATCAAATGGATTAGAGAAAAAAATATACAAAAACACACTGGAGGAAAAAACATTTCTTTAGGGCTCTTAAAACACAAAAATATAAAGAATTTCTAATTGCCAGTTATTGTTTTTCTTTCTTAATTTGTACAAGTAAACACCCAAAAAACAGCCAACTTGCTGGAGTTTATGATGTCCGTGGTGGTCCTTGACTTTGCCACCCCTCACTCATGACAACCACAAAGCCTACATAACACACACAAATCATAAGCCTTTGTAAATTAAGTTGACCCAATATGCCGCCCTAAAAGTGCCTTCAGCAGGCTTGATTTGATTAGAAGGAACATTGCAGTTGAAAAATATTAGATATTTTAGGGGCACTATTTTCTCAAATAACGGTAGTCTGCTGTTGGCTAGTTACAGTCTGTTCATCAAGCCAGACAGTGGCTCAATGTAGTTGTAGACTACTGGTACTGGAGTTGGCTAGCTACAGTCTATTCATCAAGCCAGAATGTGGCTCAATGTAGTTGTAGACTACTGGTACTGGAGTTGGCTAGTTACAGTCTATTCATCAAGCCAGAATGTGGCTCAATGTAGTTGTAGACTACTGGTACTGGAGTTGGCTAGCTACAGTCTATTCATCAAGCCAGAATGTGGCTCAATGTAGTTGTAGACTACTGGTACTGGAGTTGGCTAGTTACAGTCTATTCATCAAGCCAGACTGTGGCTCAATGTAGTTGTAGACTCCTGGTACTGGAGTTGGCTAGTTACAGTCTATTCATCAAGCCAGAATGTGGCTCAATGTAGTTGTAGACTACTGGTACTGGAGTTGGCTAGCTACAGTCTATTCATCAAGCCAGACTTTGGCTCAATGTAGTTGTAGACTACTGGTACTGGAGTTGGCTAGTTACAGTCTATTCATCAAGCCAGAATGTGGCTCAATGTAGTTGTAGACCACTGGTACTGGAGTTGGCTAGTTACAGTCTATTCATCAAGCCAGAATGTGGCTCAAGGTAGTTGTAGACTACTGGAGTTGGCTAGTTATAATCTATTCATCAAGGCAGAATGTGGCTCAATGTAGTTGTAGACAAATGGAGTTAGCTAGTTACAGTCTATTCATCAAGCCAGAATGTGGCTCAATGTAGTTGTAGACTACTGGAGTTGAGGAAAAAAAATAATCTCCAAAAAAATTCACTCATCTGCCCATAAAATCATATTTTTTTCACTCACCTGATCATTAAATCATATTTTTTTCAATAATCTGATAATAAAATCATATTTTTTTCAATCACCTGACCATAAAATCATATTTTTTTCACTAACCTGCCCATAAAATCATTTTTTTTTCAATCACCTGCCCATAAAATCATTTTTTTTTCAATCACCTGCCCATAAAATCATTTTTTTTTCAATCACCTGCCCATAAAATCATTTTTTTTTTAATCCCCTCCCCAAAAAATCATTTCCCCCCCCCCCCCCACTCACCTTCCCATAAAATCATCTTTTCCCCTTGTGTCGTGATCATAGACGGTTATTTCCAACTGCGAACTCTGGTCATCAAAAAGTCTGAGGTCGAAATTTTCCAGCCACCGAGGATTCAGTGTCTTACTTTTAAACTTTGGAAAGTAAAAGAATTTTAAGTTACTAACTTCCTTCATTTTATCAAGGCTGACAACATTGTAAATAGTGTACTGAAAAAAATAAATGTAATTTTTAATTTAAGCTTTAAAATCACCCTTAACAAAAGAAAACGCACTCGCCCTGTTAATGTTGAAACTCATTTTTCTTCATCTTTTTTAGAGTTTTATATTGGAGCAGAGTCGAGATTTTTTGTTATTAAGAAAATTGTTTAAATTTAGATGTAACAATCTCTCATCGTGGGATAAAGGTAAAAGGACACATTTTATTTTTAAATACTTTTTAAAAAAGACAGAACGTTATAAACGGTAACATTTTTAAGGAGTAAACTTCAGTAAGTGGTTTCACAAACATTAACCGTCTGGACAGTCCTCTTTATCCCCAAATATCCTAAAGTTAAACATGGGACACACGCTACGCCCACCCCTTTCCATCAGATGAATCGGCTTAAGATATTAGCTTCGAATATTAGTTACTCGTGAGTCAATGGTTGGGTGGACATAATTCTTTTATTTATAGCTGTGACTGGTGGACAGAACACTTTCAACTATAGCTAGACTTGTCACAGCGACTGGTGGACGTAAATCTTTCATCTATAGCTAGACTTGTCACAGGGACTGGTGGACGTAAATCTTTCATCTATAGCTAGACTTGTCACAGGGACTGGTGGACGTAAATCTTTCATCTATAGCTAGACTTGTCACAGGGACTGGTGGACGTACATCTTTCCTCTATAGCTAGACTTGTCACAGGGACTGGTGGACGTAAATCTTTCATCTATAGCTAGACTTATCACAGGGACTGGTAGACAGAACACTTTCATCTATAGCTAGACTTGTCAATGTGTCTGCGTGGACAGATCACTTACATTTAAAGCTAGACTTGTCAATGTGACTTGTCCTATATTACATCACATTGAATACCGCGGCAATAAACTGACCAGCCACGACGTAAAGCATTGACCAACGCCGTCACTTATAAACAAGGCGTGGCCACCGACCGCAGTGTGTCTTGAGAAGGGACTCAACTATGGCCAGCGACCGCAGTGTGTCTTGAGAAGAGACTCAACTATGGCCACCGACCGCAGTGTGTCTTGATAAGGGACTCGATTATGGCCACCGACCGCAGTGTCTTGAGAAGGGACTCGACTATGGCCACCGATTGCAGTGTGTCTTGAGAAGGGACTCGACTATGGCCACCGACCACAGTGTGTCTTGAGAAGGGACTCGACTATAGCCAACGACCGCAGTGTGTCTTGAGAGGGGACTCGACTATGGACCGACCGCAGTGTCTTGAGAAGGGACTCGACTATGGCCACCGATTGCAGTGTGTCTTGAGAAGGGACTCGACTATGGCCACCGACCACAGTGTGTCTTGAGAAGGGACTCGACTATGGCCAACGACCGCAGTGTGTCTTGAGATGGGACTCGACTATGGCCACCGACCGCAGTGTGTCTTGAGAAGGGACTCGACTATGGCCACCGACCGCAGTGTGTCTTGAGAAGGGACTCGACTATGGCCAACGACCGCAGTGTGTCTTGAGAAGGGACTCAACTATGGCCACCGACCGCCGTGTGTCTTGAGAAGGGACTCAACTATGGCCACCGACCGCAGTGTGTCTTGAGAAGGGACTCAACTATGGCCACCGACCGCCGTGTGTCTTGAGAAGGGACTCAACTCAGGTATTCACAGCCAACCGAAACGGGCGAAAAACCTAGACAGATTACGGCCTATGTCTTACGGGGTCGGGTCTTTCAACCCATGATTGGGAAGTAATGGCAGTTCGGTCAGTCTGAACATACAGCTTCACCATTTGTGTGTACCTGTGCGTGCTAATGTACAGGAACAATGTACACAGTCTGAGCAACACTACCAAAACGATTGGTCTCAACTGTTGGGGTTGATCTGGACAGTCGGAGTGGATCGAAACTGTTGGGATTGGTCGAAACTGTCTGGGTAGTGTTAAAAAAAATCTGGTATCGACTTTCCGGTAAGCAGCGTCAGGTTTCAAATGTATAACTTTAAGTTGGCAGGTGTCCCATTCTGTTATCTGTTCACTACAAATTCACTGGCAGCATTTTTCGTTCCAAAACTTGACTTGCAGAGCTGCCCAGACCATCTTATACTATTGGAACACTTATTATTGAAACAGTCGAGTTTTTTCGTTATAAGAAAATTGTTTAACTTTAGATTCATCGTGGGAAAAGAAGAAATAAAGATGATGCAGAAGTAAAGATGATGTAGAAATACAGATGTAGTGGTCATCTTACCTTACTCCTGTATTTCTCAGGGCCGAGCCTAAACTTGACGTACGGGTCACTTAGTCCATTGTCATCCATGGCCACCAGGTTGGAGCCCTCCACAAGGGTAATATTGACCACACCATTCCACTGCTGCATCTTGATCTTCTTGGACGTCGCCGCTGATTCGGTAGATCTGGTTGACCGTCTGAAAATCTGAAATGGTCGTAGGAGTTGAATAGTATTTCCCTAAGAAAAAACACAGGGACCGCATCAGTTGTGACGTAACTTGATGATGTCACGGGGATCAGAGCCACCACACCACTACGTCTCTGCCATTTCACAATCTAACCAATAGAAGCGCTAGAACACACATCATTATTGCCTGCCTGACAAACACAGACTCACGACTTACCTTTCCAGGGCGAGCAAATTTTGTTTGTTTTATTAAAAGATCTCGTGTAGCCCTCATTAAATAAAAATGACCCCCCCCCCCCCCTTTTTTCAATCCCTACTCCCCCCCCCCCACCCCGGTTGTTTTTGTATTTCCCTCTCATGTCCAAAATTTTTTCCATCCCCTCCCCCCCCCCCCCCACCCCGGTTGTTTTTGTATTTCCCTCTCATGTCCAAACAAAAAAAGAATCAAGCTATTTTTGAACCGGTTGAAGAGGATAGCATCATTACGTAAGACTTTATTTAGAAAATAATTTAGATGCATTCTCCAGCAGTAATGAAAGACAATCATTAGGCTGACCGACTGCTCCGTTACTACAATACTAACCACGCCTGCTTATCCATCAGCAGGATACTGACCACGCCTACTTATCCATTATAAGAATACTATAACTATAACCACGTCTACTTTTCCGTTATCATACTACTGACCACGCCTACTCATCAATTGTCAGGAGACTGATCCATCACAACAGACATGCCTTTATGTAACCAGAGTTGACAGTATTTTAAACATTGGTTGACAGTGTTTTTTTAAATAGTGTTTGTAATTTGGAATGGTTTGGTACATATGAATGTTAAATGGTATATATAAATGTTAAATGGTATATATAAATGTTAAATGGTATATATAAATGTTAAATGGTATATATGAATGTTACATCAATTTAGAATTCACGCAATCACAAAGACAAATTGAAATATGAAATGAGATTTTAAAAAAAAGAAAAGAATGAAGGAATGTTTTTTTTTTTTGAGTAACAATAACACACTGCATACAAAATGATAGAGCACATTTAAAAGAGCGCCTTCAGTAGAGATCAATGTAGTCTATCGAAAATGTTTTTGTAACGGACTATGTTTTCACATGTAAACAGAGAGGTAGCATGAGTGGACAGTGAGTGTGTTCACCAGGTTTTTCCACGGGGAGAGACAATCAATGTGGATTGTATTTTTGAGAACAAATGTGAACTCCACGTTTTTGGAGAGTAAAATTATGTTTTTGTCAGAGCGGTTGTTTTGCACGCTTTGCTGGTAATAAAGTATGAGTTGACTGAGATAGTAGAGAGCTGAGCGCAGAGCAGTAGAGTCAGTCAGTAGCGTGAGAGCTGTGTGATTAGACAGTTGAGCTGAGTTATAGTAGTCTGAGGACGTGTCTTTCTTAATGATGGAATACTATAGATATATATGTGAAATTACATTCATGCAAGGATTATTTATTAATATTATCAATATAAAGTGTGTTCAATAAAGTACTGTGAGTTTTAACTAGAATTGAGTATTCTTCTTTACGTGCCTGAATAATAAGTGAAAGAATGAAGAAGACTGAGTCGGCATCCTGAAGCGTTAATATAAGTAACCATACTACTGACATAACCCACAGCATAAGAAATAACATCCCACGCCATGTCAGAGTAGAAGTGTGTTACAAATGGTGTCAGAAGCGGTGTAACGACGATGCGTTACAAATATTGTCAGAAGTGTCAGAACAACGATGTATTACAGAACATTGAGTAACAATGATATATTTTAACATTCGAATCGAACGTCATTACGCCCGAGTATTTGTCAAGTCTGAGAAGAGTCCACGACACACAGAGCAAGCTGACAACGATTGAATTTAGGTCAGTCACGGGAGTCAAAAGTTGAGAGTTCAAACAGCTAACTGGTACACTGTTTCAATTATATAACAGTGGAGTGAATATTCTCGTGGAAGAAACAGCAAGAAATCTATTTTACAGTTATTAGTCAACGAAAGAGATGATCCACACAAAACCAAAAGAAGTCTGATGTCATTACAGATGAGATGTTTTATCAAGACAGCGGAAGTAAGATTTCCCCAGCATAATCTTTACTTTATACAAGCAGCACAGTTCAAGTCAAGTAATTCTTCAAGTAATTCTTCAATTACTCACAAGTGCAACAGAACCGGAGATAAATTAGACAATTTTCAATTATTGGATTATCACAATTACACTATTACGCAAGGTACTTACATTGGAATATTGCAGCAATTTGTGGTGTAACTTTTCTCATTGGATTATTTTACCCAAGTACACTACCACATAGGATTATCTACTACCTAGAAGGAGCATCTACTACATAGGATTATCGATTACACAGAAATCATAGCGTCACAGAGGAGCAGAGGTGACCAACTACAGATTTCTTTTGGACACTTTCACTTGGTATTTATGTATATTATGTTATGTATTATATATATAATTTAAGACTTTAAAAATATACTTATATCATACTTAATTAGATTAAGTAAATTTTTTACTTTTTCTGTGTAATATAAGTTTAATTTTAGAGTATACTGTAGGGACATCCACGGTGTTATCTTTCCTAGGGAAGTTTTTTTATTAAAACGGTAAAGGTTTCTTCTGGCCCTATTTATAACACTGTAGGATAATTTTGTGTTAGCTGTGAAGTCTAGTTTGTACATTGTCATAACTGTTGTTTTTTAGTAGATCGTGTCATATTTGTGCTATTTGTCTTGTCATTGTTATACATATTGTCAACCTACTGTCATATTTTCTACTATCTTGTGGTCCATAAACTACACAGTACTTTTGTATTTGTTGTCTCATTTGTATACATGTAAACGTCTACATATCTGTATTTATGTTGTGAAGTAGACAATTTAATTATTTTAAATTTTTCTTACACTTATTTATAACTTATAATTCATGTATCAACTTGCATTTGTGTATACATTCATTAACATGTAGATATATGAAATATCGTAAACTATTTTAATTGATAACCAAAGAATAAGGAGATAACTGATATACTGATACATAACAATATAATTTTAGTTACTCACATTACACATAAAAAATGGCAGAGTACTTGGAATTATTAGAAGTAGGTGAGAAGCTTGGTTTGAAGCAGGAGAAATTAACTGACTTCGTAACTCGAGAAATGGACAAAATACGAGACAGACAGAAAGAAGACAAAGACCGACAAGACAAAGACAAAGACCGAGAAGCTAGAATGTTAGAGAGAAACGATCTTAAACAAATAGAAGAAATGAAATTAAAAGGACAAAAAGAAATAGAAGAACTTAAATTAAGAGAACAGGATATGAAATTAAAAGAACAGGATATGAAATTAAGAGAGGAAGAAATAAAACTAGAAAGAGCTAGAATAGAATCAGGACAGCATACACCATCAACAAGCAATAGAGAAACCAATAGCACATATAAACCCAAATTTAGAGAATTTAATGAACATAAAGAAGAAATTATTAGTTATCTGTCACAATTTGAAGGCATATGTCAGTCTTACAATTATAGAGAAGAGACTTGGGCTAATATTTTATTGAGCAGATTATCAGGGAAAAGCCTAAGCATTATCAATTCACTTAGTGAAGAACAAAAGAATAATTATACATATATAAAGAAAGTTTTGTTAAAGTTCTATGGAAACACAGAAGACATTTATAGAAAAAATTTCCACAACATAAGACTAGAGAGAGAAGTAGATCCTAACACCACCATATTCAATATTAGAGACAATCTTGTCAAATGGCTTGAATTAACTGAAATTGACCTAAATGATCCAAAAGCATTACTGGATATGTTTATCATAGACAAAATATTAAGAAATGCATCAGTCTCTTTATTTTCATTCCTTAAAGAGAGAAAGATTAAAAATGAGCGTGAGTTAGTTGACTCAATCACAACATTTAAAGATGCTCACCCCAATGAAGAGCTAGACAATAGAAACAGCACACTAGCCTCTATTAGAAACACACCCAGTGATAGGGACAGTCAAAAACAAAACACATATCAAAACAGAAGATACCATAGCCTACCTGCCAGATGGCAAAACAATAAATTTCAGAAAAGTCATCAAAACAATTACCAAACACCATATACTAATTATTCAAACAACAACAAATGTTTCTACTGTGGCATTCCAGGTCACAAAAAATATGAGTGTAGGAAATTACATAGAGATTTAGGACATTCACAACAATACTATCAGAGAACATCACCCAACAGTAGTCCAATTAGATACAACAGTGCAAATAGGAGTAGACAACCATATAAAAATCAAAGATATAATTCCAATCAGACTAACAGTAGACAAAACACCAAACCACATGAAACTTTAGCTAGCGCATGTCACAGTGAAGGAAGTTTACAATTTTTTCCTTCTTATGTAAACAACCAACTTGTTCAGTGTCTAAGAGACACAGGTTGTACAACAATAGTAGTTGACAAAAAATTGATTGATCCTAAAGACCATATATCTGAAAAAACCACAGTCATGTTAGCAAATAACACAAAAGTTGAATGTTATAAAGCAGTAGTGGACATAGACTGTCCATGGTTGACAGGAAAGGTAACGGCAGTACTTATGGACAACCCAGTATGTCAGTTAATAATTGGAAATATTAAAGAAATTCCAGATAATTCCCAAGAACTATTCTTAAATTGGATTGAATCAAAAAATTTAACCAAAGAATATATAAGTGCAATAACAAGACAACAACATAAAACTAGTCAGACACAGCCCGAAATAGAAGAAAAATTAGACATTCCAAAACAAATATCTAGAGAAGACATAATTAGAATGCAGACAGAAGATAGGCAAATTCAGGACATTAGAAACAAAATTAAGGACAATAACACAATTTATAGAGGACATAATTACACAATAAAACATAATATTCTAATCAGAAATTTTGAGAAAGGTGAAATCAAAAAATCTCAAATAATAGTACCATTAATACTCAGAAACAAAATACTCAA